AAAAAAACTAGTTATCTACTATCTATCTACTATACTAATAAGAGCCCAAGAGAGTTAGGCCTATAATGGGTAGAAAAAATGGCGGTCAAGTTTTTTAATCAAATGAATGGCTCAGATTGATCAGATTTGAATTTTTTCTTAAGATTTACTAATTTATCCTTAATGAATATGATTATCCGTTAACTTTTCCGTTAAATATTATCTTTTCCGTTAATTTCTGTTAGTTCACCGTTAACTTATTCATTGATTTGAATAAGAAAAGTCTTAAGTTCGAAGTTCGAACCCCATCCCAATCAAAGTTGGCATATTTAGTACTCTATTTTACTTTTATTAAATTAAATAATAATTTATTAGTTACAACAAAAAAAGTAATACATATGCATTTCGATCTTTAATTTAGAATTATGTATCTAAAATGTTTTTATTCAAAAAAATTATTCATTATCAATAAATTAAATAAGAGAAATAATTTCATTAGTTATATTGTCTTTATTTTTTTCCAATATAAAAATTCTTTACATTCAAATTCATCAATTGATTATATTCGCTACATTGTCCCTACAATGTCTTTATTAAAAAAAAATTATTTATTATCAATAAATTAATTAAGAGAAATAATTTTATTATATTATATTATCTTTTTTTTCTCCAATGTAAAAATTCTTTACATTCAAATTCATCAATTGATAATATTCACTACATTGTGTATTATCTTTTTTTGTGCGCTATTTTTTTAATTAAATATCAAAGTTACAATACAAAATAATGTTATATATTTATTTACCAAGTATTTTATTAATACCAGGAAAAATTAAGAAAAATATAATTAATAAAGCCAATCATATTAACTACTTGAGGAATTTGTTGGCAAAAAGAGTATTCAAATCACAACAAATTGAAGTGAGAACTATCTCGTAATGTCCTTGTTTGACAATCAGTAGTCAGCGGTTAGCGTTAGCGGATTATATTAGCTGATTTGACCAGCGAATTATATCAACGGTTGGTAAAAAAAAATATTTGAAAAATTTAGCTTTTTAGATTAACATGTAAAATGACCTAAGGGTATACATATATTTAATAATAATAATAATAATAATAATAATAATAATAATAATAATAATAATAATAATAATAATAATAATAATAATAATAATAATTGTTTTAAAAAATAAAAAAATAAAAAAATATAATTAAGCCAACCTTATTAACTACTTGAAATTTATTTACAAAAAGAGTATTCAAATTACACAACAAATTGAAGTGGAAAACTATATCGCAATGTCCTTGTTTGACAATCAACAATTAGCTCTTCAATATTAGTATATATTTAAAATTGTATGCCCTAATTTTTATTTGCACTCCCTTATGTCCCGTATTTGGTTTCAACCATACCTATACAATTATTTTATTGACAATTATAATCAATCTTGACTATATTATCTTGCATTTGTAAACGTAGAATTACCTATTTAAATACGTAAATTCAACATTCAATTATTTATGCATGAATAATTCTAATATAATCCTGCATTGATATACTTTAAAGTACTTATTAAAAAAAAAACATTGGGCATTATCTCTAAAAAACTAGTCTACTATACTAATAAGAGACCAAGAGAGTTAGGCCTATAATGGATAGAAAAAATGGCGGTCATAGATTTTAATCAAATGAATGGCTCAGATTGATTAAAAGATTGATAAGATTTAAATTTTACACTAAAATTTCCTAAAATACCCGCACACCGTTACTAATTTCGTTAAAATTTTAAGAATTGCCGTTAGTTCACCGTTAACTTACTCATTGATTTCAATAATAAAAAAAAAAGGTCTTAGGTTCGAACCTCATCCCAATCAAAGTTGGCATAATTAGTACTCTATTTTACTCTTATTAAATTACTAGTTTTTTTACGCGCTTTGCGCGAATGAGATAATGCCCAATGGTTATTTTTAAATAAGTATTTTAAGGTATATCAATGCAATATTATATAGGAGATGTTTATGCATAGGTAAATAAATGTTGAATTTGTTTATTTAAATCGGTAATTTAAAGTATATAAATTGAAAATAATATATGAGAGATTGATTATAATCGTCACTAAAATAAATGTTTGCAATTTTATAATAACTCTAGTTTAAATACTTAGTTTTAAAGTGATAGTCTAAATAAATACTATTTTTAGTTTAAATTTCTCTAATTCTTCATAATTCTCTTTTGGGTAGCATTGTCATTGTTTTCATCTTCAGTGGGCGAGGCTGGCTGTCTACGAGCCCCCGAGGAACTTCCAAGAACGCTAAGTCAACCCAAACAAGTTAATGTGGAAATATGATTGTTGTGCTCTTCCCCTGATCATCCCCTTGCTATGTGTTAATGTGCACGTTGTTGATTGGTGATTGTTGATGATCATTGATTGATTATGATTGATTGTCCATGATAAGAAAAGATGAGATGTGATTGGTGGAAAAGAAAATGTTGGTGGTTGGCACAACGAGTGTCCGGTCATTGTACTGAAGGTACAGGCCTAGTGGTTATTATGCTATAGGCACAAACCCACCTTAGACTATCTTGCTAATGGCATGGGTCAGGTTATAAGTGTTGCGATGCCATGTCAGGGCTATATGCACTGAACATGTTCTTTCTTTTTTATATTTTTGTTGGTAGTGTGTCATGTGCCATTAGGTTACTGGTGGCAGCATAGAGGGATTCATCATGCAATGAGATTATGGTGTATGAAGCTTTAGATTTGCATTGTTGCATATACGACTGAGATTTTAGTTGTAATATGGACAATGATGTAAGAACAATTTTATCTGATAAAAAAATAATAGTATAATATTTGTAAAGTAATGTACAATTGTACCATTATAAAAAAAATATAAAAATATTAATACCATAATGACCTAAATCATTCTAATAATGCAAAAGCATAATTGAAATATTAAGTTTGTTCTAAATAATCAAAAGAAGATTAATTAAACGTTTTTTTTTTAAAAAACTTAACCTAAATTTATTATTATTATTTTTTTAAATCAAGAAAATCAAATGATTTTTAAAGTTTCCGATTTATAATCTTTGATGCTCAACTTTGAATGCTATGTATTTAGTCGGGCTAATTACTTGATCAAAGTTTATGTTTAATTTTATATTATATATTTTTTTAATACATTTTAACATATTCATAATATATGTTTAAAAATTATGTCAACTCTAATCGGGATGAGGTTCGAACCTAAGACCTTACTTATATAAATTAATGAGTATTTTAAGAATAATAAATAGTTAACGGAATATTCCGTTAATAAAGTTTATACTAACGGAATTTAGAGTTATTTTAGAGAAGGAAATAATATAATAGAGGGTAAATAAGGAAAATCATTAAAAATTACTAAAATCAAAATAATATTAACCATTCATTTTAAGAAACAATAGGACCCACATTTTTTTGTTCTAGTTAAGGGCCTAACATTATTCGCTCTTATTAAAAGTGTAGATATAAATGACCGCCAAATTATTAAATCAAATGAATGGTTCAAATTGTTCAGGTTTTAATTTTTTTAAAAGTTTTTTAATTTATCCTTAATTATATGATTATCCATTTAACTTTTCGATAAATACCGTTAATTCACCGTTAGTCTAATTCTAATATTAACGTCTAATATAGAATTATAATTATACCATTAATCTAATTCTTATATTAAAGTCTTAATAGAACTTAACCACAAATCCTAATGTCGAAATCTCCTCAAACAATATTAGTATATATTTAATATTTTATGTCCTAATTTTTATTTGTTCTCCCTTATGTCCCGTATTTGGTTTCAACCATACCTATACAATTATTTTATTGACAATTATAATCAATCTTGACTATATTATCTTGCATTTGTAAACTTAGAATTACATATTTAACCCGCACGGGCTTAGCTCAATGGTTTAGTGGGCAGTATTTGGGAGAAGAGACCAAGGTTTGAACCCCGGCGGCGGCAGTGCGGGAATTATGTCCAAAGTGGGTAGATTCCTTGTTCGCACCGGCATTTGGTCCTGTCTGCTGAACCATTGAGTCACCGTGATTTACAACTTCCCACAAGGCTCTGTCGGGTCGGAGTGTGGGGCCCTTGGGGTTGGGGACTCAACCTTTGGGAGAAGAATTACCTATTTAAATACGCAAATTCAACCTTCAATTATCTATGCATGAACAATTTCAATATAATCTTGCCTTAATATTATCTATGCATGAACAATTTCAATATAATCTTGCCTTAATATACTTTAAAGTACTTATTTAAAAAATATAAAAAAACATTGGGCATTATGCGCATAAAAAACTAGTATTATAATAAGAGATAAGAGATATAATAGTTTTCGTGCGGTGGGGGCAAACATGGGAAGTGCACAATTTAAACGATTGGTGCTGGATGGCCGTTGATGATTGTGAAGCGACCTCGTCACCCACGAAATAAGTTCGTTATTTTGCCTGCCAGCTGGCGTGGTAGTTGATTCTTTTCGTCCATATGAGTGGAATTTGGGCTCTAGCATTGTAACTCGGAATGACGAATCTAACTTCTTTTCTTACTCCACGAATGCCAACGCCCAAGAGCAACCAAACAAAACAAAAATATTCGTAAATTTAGGTAAAAAGATAGATTTATAATTTTTTAAAAATATATACAAATTTTTTAAACTAATTCTGATTTTTGTGATTTTATAAGTGGACCGAAGTAAAGCGTGGATGAACTTATGGTCTTTTTGTGTGGGCATTTTTGTCATTTATGGTCATCATCTTTCTTATAACCTCTTGTTGGGCATTTGCATTTATATTGATTGCCTCAGTAGCCCTAGAACTACGACAAAATTCGAAGAAATTGAAAAATCCAAACAACGAAGAATTAAAGAAGAAGAAGGATGTACATTGAGGTACAAATTTTATCATCTATCTATAGTAATAGACAAGGGGTGATGGCGTGCTCCGAACAAGGATGCCGTGCTATTTGATTTCTCTCCAATGCTTATAGTCTACACAGACGGCCGCGTTGACCGGATCGCTGATTTTCCGTATGTTCATCCGTCGCCGGAAAACCCGTCCGCCACTGTCTCCTCCAAAGACGTCACAATCTCTCCTCATATCTCCGCCATAATCTACCTCCCAAGGCTCGTCGCCGCTGACAAAAAACTCCCCATCTTAATCTGGTTCCACGGCGGTGGCTTTTGCATCGAATCCCCCTTCTCCTCTCTCTACCACCACTACCTCAAAATTCTAACATCGGAGGCCCAAGCCGTCGTCGTCTCAGTCGAGTATCGGCTCGCACCAGAGAACCCCTTGACGACCGCGTATGAGGATTGTTGGGAAGCTCTACAGTGGGTCGCTTCTCAAGATTATCATTGGCGGCGGTAATATAGTACACACTGATTAGAACCGGAAAAGTGGGATTTGCCTAGATCTCGGGTGCGATTCTATCGTACCCATACTTCTAGGGCTCATTCAAAGCTGACACTGAATGTTTATCCAGAAGGATATGGGGTTTCTTACGAGGGGTAAGAAAAGGGATGATGACAAGAAATGAAAAAAATGTCCAGACAAAAACGGAGTCATCACTGGCTTCTCGACGGAACAATTCCCCAATTTACGTAATTACGTAATTAACTACAAACATATATTGAACTAGAGTTTTAACTTTAATTTACCATAAAGAAAGCTCAAAGCCTCTACTAAAGGTACGATGTAGATGAAATTCGCCAATTGACTTTAGCGAAGCAAATTAATTTAAGTTATTTATAATTTATGGATTCAAATCGAGAAAACAAATAAATAGCTCTAAACATTCGAATTCGAAACACTATTGTTACCAAGCTAACTAAAATAAATTATATTATGACTCATTATCGCATTAAACTATTGATAAATATTTTTAATATATTAAATGTAGTACCAATATATTAAAAATATGGAAAAAAAATGTAATTTTAGTCTTTCAATTGTTCCTTGTTAGCGGTTTTAGTCTCTAACTTTTACCGTTGTAATATACACTCATAACTTTTTAAAAAACTTTCAGTTTTAGTACATGGATATTTTATTACTTTTTAATATTTCTTCTTTAATTATAATTTTGTTTAGTCTCAATATTTAATTAGTACAATAAAAAGTATGATTTTAACAGGGTCATGTAAGAAAAATAAGGACGATGTATCACAATTGAAAAGGAAAATTTTAACAAAAAATGTTAACAAAATCTCTATTTTGCAGATGAAATACCAAAATTGACAATGTTATAAAGAATAAAAGTAATAAAATTTTGACAAGTATCTTGTGCTCAGATGACATATACTCATATAGTGACTTCTCCCATGTGAGAAGTCATGAGATTCATTAGGTTGAGAAAGACGTTTGAACAATACTGCAATGTAATAGAGTCAATAACATTAAAAAAAAAAATTAAAAATACAATTTCTTTGAAGAGTCAAAATTATATATTGTAATGATGAAAAGTTAAGGACTAAAATTATATTTTCTTAAAAATAAACATTCAATATATTTATATATTTCATAATTTTTCCTCGACAAATTTGCACTAAAACAGGATTATATGACTTCGTGTAGCTAACTCTTATCTTCGATTGTGATTGGTGCTCCGTCAGGATATGAAGAAGGTAGTGGTTGTAGGTGGTGACGGCGCGTGAGGAGCACTGCTTAACAACCAACAATGGAAGCTCTTGGCCTTGGCTATGGACTTCCAAACCTTTCTCTTCTCAGAAGCTATCCTCGACGACAGCAACGAAGGTCGCGGCTCTCTGGTTCAGCCAGTTGCGTCGCACTTTTAGCGCCAAGGTTTTCTCCCATGTCCGGAGCTTCAATCGCAAAGGTCTTGTTTGTCTTGTTTTTAGTTAAATATGCGTTTCAACTGTTTGTGTGCTGAAATGGTTATTTTTCTCATTTTGTAGTTTCAGCACAAAATTGGAGTAAAAATGCTAGAGTTGAAGCAAATAGAAGAGATTGGTGCTGCTAGAAAAAGAGGGGATGCTCTGGTACATTTCTTGTTCAATGGCACTTCTCTTGAAAATCTCTTTGACATATTCGTTTTTGAGATAATGCTTTATGTGATTGTGGATTTGTGGATATTGCAAAATTCCCCAATAATTTTCTTCCCTCAAAAGAAGAACAAATGTAATTGTTTCATCATAATTCAGAAAAACTGCCACTGAATATTGTTGAGATTAACAAGAAAGGGCCAAGTCCAGTACATGCCTCTCGAAAATGTGATGGTGGTATAAGGAAATAAAGTTAGCCTTCTCTACTGGCTATAGCTCGTAGTAGTGTTAGAGCCAGGTTAGGTGGAGGCCGGTAATGGGCCAATTGGTGGTTAGGGGATTGTTGGGCAGAGGTCGGTAAAGGGTCAAGTCCAACACCCTGCCTCTCGAAAATGTGATGGCAGTAGGAATTAAAGTTGTGCTTTCGCTAGTAGCTTTAGCTTGCTTTTGGCGTAGTGGTAAGCGTTTGATCCTAACAAATATATTATATTTGAGTGAGCCTGAGGGTTATGGGCATCAATCTGCCATTGACTAAGCACCAAATGAAATCTTTGAGCTTAACAGGGGCAGCCTAGGAGAAACCTTGATGTTCTAAACTGGTTAGGAAAGCTCTATAGCTAAACATCTCTTACCTGCCTAATGCCCAAACTATAACCTGAGGAAATATATGGAAATGATTAGTGTGTGAAGAAATGATCTCTCTGCCTTTTATATTATGTAGAAAAAGAAAATCCCAATGAATAGGATTTCTAGTATGATGATAGAGTAAAAAGATGAAGGTGATTTGAGCTTGTTCACAGAGGTAACACTACAATTATTTTTTGTCTAAGAAAAATTCCTCACCAGGTTACCATCTGTATCCTTATAAATGTGCAAAAAGCTGTCTGCACTGAACCTTAATCTCTACACACTACGGGTCATGCCTACAAATAAAATCACATGTTGAAATCTAGACTTTTTGCAAGCTCTTCTGTAGATCTGTGTCACTGTATGCTGTAAGCCTGTAGCTGTTGTTTTGTTAAAATATCTTTATCGTATTACTGCTTCAGTGCTTGTTTTCAGACTTTTGAGCATTTTATCTCTGGGTTTTGTTTGTATAAACAATTATAAAATGAACAAATGGAAAAGGACCCCAATGTGCCTCACTTATCACCTTCTATCTTCATTCTATCTTCCGAATTGTCATGATTTTAAGTACTGCTTGCAGGCATGTGTGAATGGCTCTTCAACATCCTCTATTTTTCTTCATTTTCTCCTAGAAGAAGAAGATGAAGATGTAGATGAAGAAGAAGAAGAAGAAAAAGAAGAGGAAGAGGAAGAGGAAGAGGAAGAAGAAAGGTTAATCTCAAAAATAAATGACCCAATTATGAATTTCTTCAAGACACGGGTAGAGAATCCGGACTCAGTTCCTGATGCGGATCATCATGGCAAGTTCTCTCTCAGTAAGAATCGCAAAACCTCTTGGCACCTTTCTCCAAGCATTGGTTCAACTATAGAAAATGAAGAAAAAGGAGGAGGAGGGGGAGGAGAAGAAGAAGAAGAAGAAGAAGAAGAAGAAGAAGAAGAAGAAGAAGATAATGATGAAATTGAGAAACTCCAAACTGACCTTCCTATTACAAAAGTTGGGGGAGTTGTTGGTGAAATTCTGGAAAAGGCTAGGAGTTTACCGGAAAATGTGACATTTGGGGAGGTTTTAAGGGAGTTTGAAGGGAGGATTGGGGAGAAGGAGTGCGTGGAGGTGTTGGGGCTTCTGGGAGAAAAGGGTTTGCTCAAGGGCTGCCTATACTTTTTTGAATGGATGAGGTTGAATGAGCCTTCACTCCTTACGCCTCGGGCATGTACAGTTCTGTTTCCAATACTTGGGAGGGCTGGGATGGGCAATGAGTTAATACTTCTATTCAGAAGCTTGCCAAATCACAAGCCATTCAGGAATGTTCATATTTATAATGCTGCTATTTCCGGGCTTTTGAGCTCTCATCGGTAATATTTCTATTGCATTTCTGCTGTGCACTGTATCATGCGGTTAACTTAGGCAAAATCCCATTATTTTTTATTTAGTTTTCTTAGTGACATTTTTGCTGCATTTACTAATTTATCTACATTTTATTTAAACAAAAACTTTGCATTTGTGGAATGCAAGTAACATCAGCACTCAGCTGAGCAGTTTCTTGCATATGGCGTTTTAACCTAGTGACTTATGTTAGACCATCCCTAGAAACTGAGTTGGACTTTCTCTTGGTTTAATCATAGGTACAATGATGCCTGGGGAGTCTATGAGATGATGCAAACGAATAATGTTCAACCGGATCGTGTGACCTGTTCCATACTTATTACAGTAATGAGGAAAATGGGAAGCACTGCCAAGGAAGCCTGGCAGATCTTTGAAAAAATGAATAAGAAAGGGGCCATGTGGAGTCTTGAAGCCGTAGGTGCTTTGGTTAAATCATTTTGTGATGAGGGGCTTAAGAGGGAAGCCCTAATTATCCAATCTGAAATGGAGAAAAGGGGGATCTCTTCAAATGCTATTGTATATAATACTATAATGGATGCTTATAGTAAATCAAACCAAATTGAAGAAGCTGAGGGTCTGTTGGCTGAGATGAAGATGAAAGGAATATCACCCACATCAGCCACTTATAACATTTTAATGGATGCATATAGCAGAAGGATGCAGCCTGATATAGTTGAGAAGCTACTAGAAGAGATGGAAAATACCGGGTTGGAGCCAAATGTAAAATCCTATACATGCCTCATTAGTGCATATGGCAGGCAGAAGAAGATGGGTGACCGGGCTGCTGATGCTTTCTTGAGAATGAAAAAGGTTGGTATAAAACCAAATTCTCATTCATATGCAGCTCTTATTCATGCTTATTCAGTCAGTGGGTGGCATGAGAAGGCTTATATCGCTTTTAAGAATATGCTAAGGGAAGGAATAAAACCCTCAATACAAGCTTACACTGCTTTGCTTGATGCATTTCGGCGTTCGGGTGACACAGAAACACTAATGGAAATTTGGAAAATGATGATCAAAGATAGAATTCAAGGGACTAGGGTAACTTTCAATACTCTTCTCGATGGATTTGCTAAACAAGGTCACTATGTTGAAGCAAGAGATGTTATATGTGAGTTCGGAAAGGTTGGGTTGCAACCAACAGTTATGACATATAATATGTTGATGAATGCATATGCAAGGGGAGGGCAAGAATCGAAATTGCCACAGCTTCTGGAAGAAATGGCAGCACATAATCTAAAACCTGATTCGGTTACCTATGCCACAATGATATATGCCTATATCCGTGTTCGAGATTTCAAGAGAGCATTTTATTATCACAAGAAGATGGTTCAAAGTGGGGAAGTTCCTGATGCCAA